GAATACCCAATTAGAAAGTTCGAAAAAGAAATTGGGATGATATGGGGATTCCAAGCAAGTTGGAGGACTTATATTATGGACCTGGAATCGATGATTCAATGTAAGTTGAAAAATTTTCGCGATTTATTAATTGCTCAATTTTCAAACGCGTTTTTCTCGAAACCATGTTAAAAATTGGTGACCAAAATATCTCGGCAACCACTGAACCGATCAATTTGAAATTTATAGAGGCTATTCTATACATAATTATCTAGTCTTTGTCGTAGGATTTTTTTTAAGTGACTTAGTTTTTTTTTATCGGCAAAATAAACCCGAATTTTTCCCTAAAAATTGAACCCTTAAATTCAAACGCCCGCCATTTTGTAAAAAATCGATATTTTCAAAAACCCCTACGTCAAAGACTAAATTATAGTGTCAATTTTAATAATTTTTTTTGGTTTTTTTTATTCTGATGATTACAGATGAAATGGGAGTGGTCACCGCGGAGGACGTTTTTTTTGCGACAGTCGACAAAACCCAAGAATACTCCGCCAATATTGAATATTTTTTAATAAAAAAAATTTAACATATTCTTAAAAATGTGTACTTTCATGTAGAAAACATACCAATACCATAATTCATATAAGTTTCCTTAAAAAAATTCACAAAAATTGCCTTTTTTTCGGGCTTCTATTTGGGTATTCCCCCTTAACCCCATTAGCTCCCGGCAAGCCGGGCATCCAGCGGACACCAACTTGGAGGTGGGACAGACTTGAGGCGCAAACAACAGGTTGCGCCCTTATGAACGAGCAACTATGACTCCCAAACATTATCGCCAAAAAAATGTTATAAAGGCGTTGATCCACTTGAAGTTTAGGAGATAGTTCCCAATAAAGGATTGCGGTTTCCTTTCTTTGCAGATTGCTCTGCTCTCCCTAACTTTCCGTGTCATAGACCCTTAGATGGTGCGATCCTATAGCACGGAACGTATGCGCAATGCGGAATTGGCGGAACGAAGTTCGTCCAATCGCAGACATTCTGCCAGTTGCGTTCCGCTGAAATATATTTTCTAATGTCCCATGGAGCGGAACTCGCGGAAGCGCAATTGACGCTTGCCAATCACAAGATTGTTTCCCATAGATCCTTTTATTGTATCTATCGGAACAGTGTATATTATTGGCACGCACAGACTACGCTTCCGCATTTTCCGCTGCATGGGACATTAGAAAACAAATTTATGCGAATCGGAATCACACATACATCTGTCACATTAACGAATTCCATTTATATTCAACAAAATTGCCACCAATTGCTACAACATTCAATCGCTAAAAATGAATTCTAAAAAATTGTTTGTTATTATTTGCATATTATTAAATAAATTAAAACAATGTTGGTGTTTATTTAAAAAGCAAGAACTACGCAGTAAGATTATAAAATTATATTCATTATATATAGTCGCAAAAAAAAATAAAAATGAAAAACAACAAAGACATTGGGCACGACCTATATTTAGTATAGAGATGAGAAGATTAAAACAAGGAGCAAGTAAGAATCTTGTGAAAGAAATGCTGGCCGAAGACAGAGAAAAATATCAATATTATTTTAGAATGCCACCTCAATTATTTAATGCGTTATTAACATTAGTCGAACCAGTCATCATAAAACAATATGTTATTCGCGAACCTATTTCCCTTGACACTCGGCTCCAGATTTACACTGCGCTATTTAGCATCAAGGGATAGTATGAAATCCCTGTCATATGCCTTCAGAGTTGCACACAACACAATCTCAAAAATTATATCCGAGACTTGTGAAGCTATTTGGAGTTGTTTAAAAGATTCAGTTTTTTTTATGGACAATGAAGAGAGTTGGAAATCTGTAGCTGATAAAATTTCAACGATTGTGAAACTTGCCGAAATGTATAGGTGCTATTAATGGAAAACATGTTTAAATCCAAGTAAGTTTTAAATGGAATTTTGAGTTTATTTATATAACGTTAAAACTTTATTGATAAGAAATAAAAGGCTTTGTTAAATATAAAAAAATTTATTTTATATTCAATGTACACAATACATATTGGTTGGCGCTCACTGTAAATAGTGTAAATAGCGTTTAATTGTGCTCCCGTTGTTCGTTAGTTAATCGTAATCAGTTCATGTTCGTTAGTATTAGTTGTCTCCACCGGTTTACGTAAGACGGCCGGTAAGGTTATATTCGAGTTAACGACTCGCGCGGAACGTTGGCGGATCGCGATCAATCGGTCTGTCAATAATCACCCGACTCGTGCTGCCCACCCCATCGGCGGCCGTTTCCGTAAGGACCTCGCACCGCGAGTCGCGGAAGCGCGAGCCGGAAGAAGCATTCACACTCTCGTATCAGTCACGGAAGAGTCCAGACACGTTTCAAACACGATCGTATCGGCTCACGTTTCGGACCCCGCGAAGACTATTGCGCCCACTAAGAGCATTCGATTTCCTGCCTTTTCTGCTTTGCATGCCGCTTGCACACTTTGGACATTCGGCACGCTTTGGACAGTCTCACCACCAAGGAGGCCAGCCACCCAGAGGAAGGCCGGAACCGACACCCAAGGGCCGGGCAACGAAACGGTGAGTCGCATTCACTCCGTTTGCGTGCATCATGCACCCGTTTTGTACGTGAGGGGATTGCGCCCCTCTGGTCCTTCGAGAGATTATCGTTGTACCATTTGCGTCCCCGAGGCGGACTCACACCCCCCCCCCCCCGAGCATTTGGTCCTTCGAGCCGGATTGTGCGTAGAAGTGGACCTCGCGTTAGTGAAAACCGCTAGCGTCTCGTGCTTCTCGTTAATATTCGGTCGTGCCATGGCGTGGACGATAAATCGGTATCGCCGACGACCGCCGCGATATCTCTCGTTCGCAGTATTCGGCTCGCTGCGAGAATACGCGCGGAATACCTCGTGGCACGCCATTATCGTTATTCGTTGTGAAAAATACACGCGTCGACTCGTCATCGGCATTAGCGGACGAACGGTGTTGCTAGTTTCGCGGCGCGCCATTGCCGTTGATCGCTCTTGTCGATTGAACGCTTGTGCAACATAAGTCGTCATCGTCGTTATTCGGACGAACGATACGATTTATATTCATACTCAAGGTATATTCATTTGCGAATATTCCTTCGTGCTTCGCGCAAATTTCGAACCGAACCATCCGCTACTCGTCGCTACGGCGAGCCGAGCGGTGTTGTTTTTATTTTTTCCGCATTCCACACTCGAAGCCTTCGACGCTTCGACGATATTATTGTGTTGAACTTGCCATCGCCTCGCTCGTGCGTTGGAGTTGATTATCCTGGCGATTCAACCTGAGTTTGAACCTCGGCGACTCAAACCGAGATAGCATAATTTCGTTTTGCTCGAGCACTCGCGCGGGCACATCGACCTTCAAGATGAATAGGGGGTGCAAACAGCGACGCGAACTGTGCGTTCGGCGCATAAGAGAAATTCATCAATATTCGATGCTCGCGGTAGACAACGTGTCGATGAGACCAACCTTTATCGTTCGTTATCCGACGGTAGCCCAATTAGTTCAGGATTTTGAGAAGGCTCACCTCCAAGTAACTCAGGATGCTAATGATGAAGAATTTGCGTCAAAGACGCGATACGTGACGAGTTCGACAAAATGCGTTTTGCCGTAATAGGGCGGTATGAAAGCTTCGTTCCCGCGCCGGGGACCAATGCGTCCTCGCGGGGTGCGCCGCTCGCGCCCCAATCCGCGATCAGACTACCGAAGATCGCCCTCCCACAATTTACGGGTGATCTTGGCCAATGACCATCCTTCATTGCGCTGTACAACACGGCGATCCACGAAAATAGCAGCGTGTCCGCTATCGAGAAATATCAGTACTTGTTCTCGTTATCGGGGGAGGTTTTCGGCGTCATAAAAAACTTGCCCATGACTTCGGAAAATTACGTGATTGCTTATGAGGCGCTGCTATCGCGATATCAGGATAAAAGAAAATTAGCCACGCAATATTGGCGCTCCCTCGTGCATGCCACTCCCTTGAATGCGGATTCCGTCGAATCCCTTCGTTCGTTGTTAGACGCCTTCAATGAAAACACGCGTGCCTTGAAGATGATGGACTACCCGGTGGAGCCCTGGGACTTCATGCTCTTCAATCACTTGTTGGAGAAGCTAACTCCCTCTCTAAGGGAGAAATTGGAGTCAGTTCACATGACCGTGGAATCGCCGCGATACGAGCAATTGATAACGTATCTGTCGGGATACTGTACAGTCCTCGCGTCGGTAGCCGACTCGTCAAATAAATTGAAAGTACAAAATCCGCCTGCTAAGAAAGCCGCATCGACTACCTCGCTCGTCGCACAGGCACGCCGCGTGCCTCCAGTGCAAGGAGCAACATTCCTTTGCGAAATGTCCTGAATTTCTGAAGCTCTCGGTCAAGGAGAGGTACAACTTTGTTCGCGAACGGGGGGTATGCCTGAATTGTCTTCGCACCGGACATTATTCGAGAAATTGTTTGTCGGCATGGACGTGCCGGACGTGTCATGCAAAACACCACTCGCTCCTGTACTTCGAGCAAAGCATCGCCTCGCCGCAGGGGGGCGCCGCGACCCCCGCGAAGTCAGAGGACAAACCGATTGTTGCGATGGCTAGCGTGGCCAATGGCGTGGTCTTGTTGTCGACCGTAAGAGCGGAAGCCATTGACGTGCTTGGCAACCCGTTTTCGGTCCGCATATTGTTGAATAGCGCGAGTCAGGCCAACTTCATCACGGAGAGTTGCCTGCAACGGGGCGGTTTCGCCGGACGAAACACCGCGTGACAGTGTTAGGCGTCAGCAAGACAAAGGTCGCCACAACGCGGGGCCTTACGTCATTCGTGATCCGAGCGCGAGATCGCGACGATATTTGTCTCCCCGTCGAAGACACGGTGCTTCCTCGCATCACCTCGCCGCTGCCAAACGAACGTGTTGCGGCAAAATCATGGAGTCACCTACGGGGGCTGCAGCTAGCAGATCCGGACTGTTACATGCCCGGTTCAATTGACATTCTATTGGGAGCGGAATCCTTCGTATCAGTACTTAGAAACGGTCGTCGCACCGGTACTCATTGGGAGCCGGACGTCTTCAATACGGTTTTCGGCTGGGTTCTGATGGGCTCGGTTTCCCCCTCCTTGCAAGTGCAATCGCTGCACTCCTTTGTCACCACGCTCGAGTCGATCGACGCGTCGGTGGAAAGGTTTTGGAAGTTGGAAGAAGTTCCGGAACACGTTCCGATTTCAGAGGAGAACCGGCGTTACAGGGAGATCGTTGATAAAACCACGTGTCGCGACCATTCGGGTCGTTTCGTGGTCTCATACCCCTTTACATCGCACCCTCCTTCATTCGTGGACTCGCGACCCATAGCAGTCAATCGGTTACGCGCACTCGAACGCCGATTCAAATTGGATCCCGAACTTAGAAAAGGTTATAACGCGTTCTTACAGGATTATCTCGATAGCGGACATATGGAGGTTGCAGACCAGACTTCTTCATCGGACGGTTGCGTCTATTATATGCCCCATCATGGGGTGTACAAACTCGATAGTACGACCACCAAATTGCGGGTCGTGTTTAACGCTTCGTCCAAATGCCCGAACAGTATATCGCTAAACGACACATTGCTCAGTGGACCGAAATTACAACCAGACATAATCGCGCTCCTAATTAGATTCTGAGCTGAACCGGTAGCTATCACCGCGGACGTGAAGCAGATGTTTTGCCAAATCTGGATAGACCCGGAGCAACGGGATTATCAACGCATTGTCTGGCGTTTTTCGGAGTCGGATCCTATCTTGGATTACCTGCTCAAAACGGTCACCTTCGGCGTCACCTCTTCTCCATTCCTAGCGATCTATTGCCTGCTTTGTCTAGCTTATGAGTATCGTGATAAGTATCCGCTGGTTTACGCTCTACTACTCAAGGCTCTATACGTGGACGACGTCGTAGCCAGCGTCCGCACAATCGCACAAGGCATCGCGCTTCGCGATCAATTGATAGGACTGTTCCGGAGCGCCGGTTTTGAGTTGCGCAAATGGGCGAGTAGCCATCCTGCCGCGTTGGATGGACTTGACCCTGATATCTGTAGTCAATCCATGCATTCCTTTGATACGACAGAGGATCAGGGGCTCAAGGTTCTAGGCCTCCGCTGGCATTCAACAGTGGATAGATCAACCCCTTGACCCGAACATGCACCAAGCGCACCGTTTTATCGGGAGTAGCGCGCATGTTTGACCCTCTAGGATTTTTGGCACCGCTTACGTTCACCGCAAAGGGATTGATTCAGTATTTGTGGACCCTCAAGCTCGACTGGGACGACGAACCGCCGGAAGAGGTTCGCCGCCAGTGGAAATCGGAGCTTGACGCGTTGAGCTCCTTTCAGATACCTCTTACGTTCCCCGTGGGTGATGGTGTTCGTCGCGAGTTGCACAAATTTTGTGACGCGAGCGAACGGGGTTATGGGGCTGTAACGTACATTCGCGCTGTCACTCCATCGGAGGTCAAGGTTATAATTCTGTGCGCCAAAGCAAAAGTGGCTCCGTCACGCGCCCTTTCCCTCCTTCGCTTGGAGCTTTACGCCGCGTTGGTCCTCGGTAATTTGATCGATTACGTCCGGCAGGTCCTATTGGAACACCTGGAAATTGATGCCGAGTACGCCTGGTCCGATGCCAAGGTCGTGCTATACTGGACCCATTCCTCCCCGCATAAATGGAAAACGTTCGTTCGCAATCGCGTTGCTCGAATACAAGAAAAGGTGCCGGTCACGGCTTGGGGTCACGTGGCCTCTGAGCTTAACCCCGCGGATCATTGTTCCCGTGGCCTGTTCCCGCGCGAACTCGTGGCTAATACTACGTGGTGGGAGGGCCCCGAGTGGCTGCTTGATTTCGAAGGCCGCGCCGAACCGGTCCTTTCTGGGGAATCGTCCCCAAGCGAGGAGGAGAGAATCGTATCGCTCGCCGCGATCAACCTACCTAACCCCATATACGCCCTATTAGATAGATTCTCGTCACTAGATAAGATTTGTAGGATAGTTGAATATATCACCAAAATCGCCCAAAATTTAAAGGGTAAATCGGTACCCGCGACCTTGGCAGTCGATCAGGTCGAAGCGCATCGCGCGCTCTTGATCGTCGTTAGATTTGTGCAGACGGAGGTCTTCAGCGAGGAGATTGACCGACTTAGGAACGGAAAGAGATTACCGAAGCCTTTCCTCAAACTCGCGCCCTTTTTGGACTTAGAGGGTATTTTCAGGGTAGGCGGCAGGCTCGTCCATTTGGGACTGGCGTTCGAGGCCAAACACCCCGTCCTACTGCCGAACAAACATCGCTTGACGGATCTCGTCGTTGAACATGTGCACCGGGCTCGACTGCACCCGGGTAGACGCACGCTGCAATACTTGCTCGCCCAACGTTTTTGGATCCTTGGGTTCCACCGCGTGATTCGGCGGGTGCTCTCGAGATGTTATAAGTGCTTCCGCGCAAACCCGCATGCTACCCAACCCATCATGGCGACACTACCGGCCGAGAAAGTCAGCCAAGTCAAGCCCTTTTCGATCAGTGGATTTTGCGGGGCCCTTTGCGATGGTCACGCGACGGGCTCGGGGAGTCTCCTCCTTCAAGGTGTACGTTTGCCTCTTCATGTGCTTCGCGGTCAAGGCGATACACCTGGAGGTGGCCTTCTCACTGTCTACGGACTCTTTCCTTGCTGCGTTGCGGCACTTCGTGGCTCGACGCGGCCGCTGTTCGCTCCTATATAGCGATTGCGGCACGAATTTTGTAGGAGCCGCGCGCGAACTCGAAAAGTGCATGTCTCTCGTAGCCGAGCGAGAACAAATAAAGTGGTCGTTTAATCCCCCCTTGGCTCCTCATTTCGAGGGCCTCTGGGAGACGGGGGTCCGATCACTTAAGACTCACCTTTGAAGGGTGGTAGGGGATCAGATCTTATCATTCAAAGAATTCATTACGGTCCTTGCTCAGATTGAGTCTGTCCTCAACTCCCGGCCTCTCTGCCCTATGAGCACCGACTCTTCAGACCTCGAGGTCCTATCCCCGGGCCATTTTCTAACAATGGAACTCCTAGTGTCAGTTCCCACTCTCGACGTGGCTCCGTTGCCAATAAATCGTTTGAGTCGATGGCAACTCATTCAACGCATCCACCGCGACTTTTGGAAGCGCTGGCACGTAGAGTATCGCAACACGCTCCAACAGCATCCCAAATGGTGGACCTCTGCCGGTACTCTCGACGTGGGCACGTTGGTCCTCATCAACGCAAACTCGTTCCCCCTACGTTGGAGACGTGGACGCATAGAAGCGCTGTATCCGGGTAGCGACGGCGTTCCGCGGGTCGCCACGGTGAAGATGGCGGATGGTTCGATCGTGCGTCCCTTGGTGAAGCTATGCCCCTTGCCGGTGGGCACTCCACCTCGGAAGCCCGCTACAGTTTAAAAATACAACGTTGTATTTTAGTGGGCGGTATGGTTGGCGCTCACTGTAAATAGTGTAAATAGCGTTTAATTGTGCTCTCGTTGTTCGTTAGTTAATCGTAATCAGTTCATGTTTGTTAGTATTAGTTGTCTCCACCGGTTTACGTAAGACGGTAAAGTTATATTCGAGTTAACGACTCGCGCGAAACGTTGGCGGATCGCGATCAATCGGTCTGTCAATAATCACGCGACTCACCCGACTCGTGCTGCCCATCGGCGGCCGTTTCCGTAAGGACCTCGCGTCGCGAGTCGCGAGAGCGCGAGCCGGAAGAACCATTCACACTCTCGTATCAGTCACGGAAGAATCCAGACACATTTCGAACACGATCGTATTGGCTCACGTTTTGGACCCCGCGAAGACATTGCGCCCACTAAGAGCATTCGATTTCCTGCCTTTTCTGTTTTGCATGCCGCTTGCACGCTTTGGACATTCTGCACGTTTTGGACATTTGGCACGCTTTGGACAGTTTCACCACCAAGGAGGCCAGCTACCCAAAGGAAGGCCGGAACCAATATCCAAGGGCCGGGCAACGAAACGGTGAGTCGCATTCACTCCGTTTGCGTGCATCGTGCATCCGTTTTGTACGTGAGGGGATCGCGCCCCTCTGGTCCTTCGAGAGTTTATTGTTGTACCATTTGCGTCCCCGGGGCGGACTCACCCCCCCCACCGAGCACATATTATGGTAAAAAGACAATATGTGTTCTTGTTACAGGCTCCACCAAACAGCGGATCGACATACTACAATTACAAAGGCCATCACAGCATTAATCTCCTCGAAATCAGCGATGCAAACTATTGCTTTACAATAGTCGATATTGGTGCCGAAAGTAGGCAAAGTGATGGAGGAGTCTTCCGCAACAGCGAAATTGGGAACCGCTTCGAAGTTAATTTGTTCAAACTTCCAAACCCGAAATAGATTGAAATTGACGGATTAGAATTACCCTAGTAGCAGATGAAGTTTTTCTATTATCTATGTAGATGATGATGAGACCATATCGGCAAAGTAGAAAACTCAACATTGGGAAAAAAGTATTCAATTATCGACTTAGCCGTGCAAGAAGGGTTGTGGAGATCGCTTTCGGCATATTAGTGGCTCGATTGAGAATATACCGAAGGCCAATCATCGCAAATGTCAGCAATGTACGCAAAATTGTACAAGCAACTGTAGCACTGCACAATTTTATTATAAAAAACAAAGCGCAATTAACGGGAAGTAAATCATATTTACACAACTCTCGAAGATATGCGTACAAGCCATGGAGTTTGCAATATGCCACTTTGTCGAAGCCGCGGCAATAAAGATGCTATTGCAGTTAAAGAAGCGTATTCGACATATTTTTAAAGTACTGGTGCGTTATCTTACCAGTGGGAAAAAGAGTTACAAAACGATTTTTAATTAATGATTGACGATAATTGACGATTTGTCTCTGTAAAAAATTTTATAAATAGTACTGTAAGTATATGTAAGTTAGTAAAGCGTAGATATACTTATAAACACTAGATAAACTTATTCGTAAGGCTTGTATGTGGTATGTCATAATAAAAATACATTTTGTTTGAAAATAACTTGTATTTGTTTGAAACTAAATATACGTAGTATACAATAATAGTCATACTTAATATTAATGTAATAAAAAAGAAAAATAAATAGATATATATAATAATAATGTAACGTAGTAAAAAAGTTTCTTTTATATCAGATAGCAGATTAAGTAAACATAAAGTAAATATAATTTATTTATAGTTATTGATTATTTAATTTATTTTGCTGTTCCATGAGCATAGCAAGGAATTTCATTTCTAATTCAATTCGCTTTCTGTAGGCAGTTTTCCTTCCGAGTATCCTTCTCCGAGTAGAAGTAAAAATCCATCAACTCCGTTAAGTTTTTTATTGATTTCGAGTAATGTTGTGATAACGGTTTCGTGAAATCTTTCTGACTTTTTTTCTGAAATATTATTAATTTTTAACATGAAATAAATTTATTGAAATGTCTAATAAAGTGATATAGAACCGTACTTTTACTTAAGTTTAAATCAATTTCTCCGGAGTTTGATGGCAGCAATAAGTTTGATATATTGCTGCCCGCATTGCTGCTCGCATTGCTGCATGTTGGTTGGGGTACCAACACTGATTGTGAGTCTTCACTAACTTCAGTTAACATACTTTTATTTTCTTCATTGTTTTGAACGTTTGATGATAGACTAGTACATGTTCTAGAGAGAAAAACAGCACTTTTAATATCGGATCGGATCTTAACAAAAAATAGTCAAGAACCTTGGAGAAAAATTCCTATTGCGTGGATACCAATTTCAAGTGCCAAAGAGGACTAAATTAAATAACCAAGTCAAGTCTGGAGTGTCTCTGTATTTTAAATATATTGACTTTTTAAATAATGTATATATTAAATTATTAAACTTACAAAGATTTTCCTAAGACATCATCCAAAAACTTTATCTGTTCGAAGAACCTAAAGAAACTTTTTTTCAAAGTTGAAGTTTTAGCAGCAGACCCACTTGGAATGTACATATGTTTTTTTGCTTCCTCATAGAAGCTTTGTGATAGTGAAAAAAATTTTTTTCGACATTTTGATGGAAATAGGTTTAGAATGTTCCAAAATGTTGAGAAATCATATTAGTAAAAAATTTGTGTTTGTGTGTGTGTGTGTGTGTGTGCGTGTGTGTACGGATTTTTTGTACACGCATCTACTTCTACAATTTTTTAGATACCGGGTTGAAATTTTACACACAAATAGAAAATCATAAAAAGTATGTTCTCCTTTAATTTTATTAAAATCTGTCGACCGGTATGGATTTTAAGGGGATTTTCATTTTTTAGAAAAGTGTGTTTTACGCTGTATTTTTCTCAATATTTGAAATATTGATCTATTTTTAATTTTATTATATTCTTTAGTTTTTCTACCCCTATTTCATACATAATTCTTTAAAACTTGGTTGATTAGATCCATTTTTATACGCGATCAAAAGTCCATAATATTTTTAGAAATATGTGTTGCAAATTTCGAAATATCGTGCTATTTATAGTTTTATTATTGTATATTCTTATCGGTGAATGAGTTACCGATTTTTGCTTAAAAAGTTACATGTATAAGTTATACATGTAATTTTATATAGAGTATCATTAAAAAAAGGTTGGTATTGAATTTGGCAATAATCGATAAAAAGGTTTTTTCTTTATACAAAATTTTGAATTTTTGAGAAAATCAATACAATTAGTACAAAGTCTGATGTATTGATTTTCTCAAAAAACTGTTTGTAGAATTACTAAGCTGTCCTGCTATTAATTTCACATATTATATGTCATTTTGATAAGTTATCAAGTTTTATACGGCCCTGGGGCATGCGCAAGCATTTTGCTCCTCCAACGAAAAACAAAAAAACAGTATTTTAAAATTTGCGAAAGTTAGAACTTTTACATATTTAAATGTTTAAAAAAAGTTTATCTCTAATAAAAAACAAAAAAATGGCCCAATATCTCAAAATTTGCGGAAATTAGAAAACCCACAGGCATTTATACTGTGGAAAAATTAAAACTTCCTTAAAATAAAAAAAAATGTATAAACTTTTATCAAAATGAGGGGAAAAAATAAAAGGATCGTACTACCCAGGGGGAGGAAACTCCCAATGAAAAAGTAAAGACAGTGTTTCAACGCCACCTGGGCTAATAGACCGGTTTTTTGACACTACCATGGTAAAAACTCGCGGATTGTCGGTAATGTGTTCTGAAGGTATAAGTAGAATTATAAAGATGAATAGAAGTATCAATATTAGAGGTTATTTGTATACTTATTCATATTGGAATATTTAGAAATATTTAGTGTGAGAAAGAGTGAAAAGGTAGTGAAAAGTAGAAGTAGTGAAAAGTAAACGTGAAAGTATTTAATGTATTATTAGTAATTTAATGTAAATTAAATTAAAAATAACTAGGTATATGAGCAGTCTGCGCTGTACTCTGCTTCCACCGTTTCCACGACGGCTTACATATATTCCTTCTGTATCAAGTTGTGCGAGTGATATACAGGCAGCGAATACGTAGAAAACTGACCATATCTAACGTCGAATAATTATCTCGATAACGGAAATAAGCTATTGTGAGGTCCGGTATGTTCAAAAAGTCGGACATTTAACATTTTCTTCCTCTTTACGAAGAAACACGGGAGAAACAAGAGTTTATTCTTCTAGGCCGCTTTGCTGCAATTAAGGACAAGAAGGCGAGTCTACCTGAAATTGTTTCGCTGATTCCAAGGAAAGGGAAAGAAAGATTCCGCGACACTTGGATCTCATTGGAGCTTTTTTTTGCATTGATTTTTAAAGGAGAGTGCTTTCAGAGACATATCTTTTGTGGGAGAATCTCTCATTTTCTAGTGACTCACGCCGAACAACGTATTCGTGACGGGACTTTATTTCGGAAATTTATTGACTCTCGTTGCCCTTCACCTGTTTGTTTACATTGCCGAGACGGTTGCGCGAGGAAACATAACGAACGGTTAGATAGTAGAGCAGAGCAGCCGAACAGATAAGAAAGGTATTCCCTGTGTTTCGGCGCTTATTCGTATCTATATATTTATTTATCATTTTTTGTTATTTGAATATTTATATCATTTGATGTATGATGCATTAATGAAATTACTTTTAAATTTGAACAATTTTGTTGTGTAGAATGGCCAAAATTGGATGGAAGTGTGTTATACCACGATGTACGTCAAACACTAAAACTCCTGGACATTTTTTCCCCAAAAATCAGAAAATAGCGGAGAAATGGCTCAATATAATAGCAGTGCCCGAATTAAACTTTTTGTCAGAAGAGGATATTCGAAAATGTAAAATTTGTTATTTGCATTTCAGTCCAGATGCATATATTTTTAGTTTGAAACGCAGACGATTAAAACATAATGCTGTACCAACTCTCAATTTATTTCATCAAAGAACCGAAGATATACCTCAGTCGAGTACAAGTGCTCAAAATGTCAATATTCTAGACAATAATATGCAATTAAACGAAGAGAATGTTAATATAATTGCAGAAGAAGATCAGCACATTGAGATACAGATAGAAAACACTCCAAAGAGTTCTCGTCT